GGCGTGCATTAGCAGGTTGTCGTAGATTTGCATTGCTTATTTAAAGGATTTTCACATTTTCACCCCTATTTCATAATAGGATGGTCTGTTTGACCCCAAATTGGCACAGAGTGTTTTTGTTTATACCTCCAGCTGGCAGGTCAGGCCAATCTATTTTTACCTCTAGACCATTTCTGCAGGAAATATATCTTATCTTTAATCGGTCATTCAGCAGGGAACTGGGTCATCTGGTGCTTGAGAGGTCATTGACCTCAAACAAACCATGGTAACAAGACACTAAACGATTGCACATGACAGCTTGGGCAACCCCTTCCAATACGAAGTGCCACAACAAAATTCTTAAAGGGTAGACATCTATAGACATCTATCATTCTGCTGATAAAAACAAAGTTTGACTCATAATATCTCTATTAAAATACACCAAAAGATTACAAAATAACAAGCTATTTCATGGAGGGACGATGTCTACGACTTCTCCTTGTTGTTAATGTTGTTCGTCAAGGTTGACATATTGGTTTTAAAACACAATTTCCATCATATGCCGCAAATGTCTGGTAATTGATGGGAAAACTGGTGCTGGTTAGAGCCCTGCTTTACATATTGTCCTGCTGGCATTCCTGGCACAATATTTTTCAATAATTTCATGTCATAATTAGATCATAGACCCCCAAATTTTTTGCCCTGCAGTGGCATAGTTACTTCCGCATTCGTTGCGTTTCGCTGCAGCGGTGTGAAGCGTTGCACGAGAAATACCCCCAAATCGTACTGTAATGTACAGGGTGCTATATACATTTGTAGATGGTACTGTATGTGCCAAGCGACATATGTTGCGCACAGCAGGACAAGGGTTAATTTCTAGTCTTCACCAACATGTAGCAATATACAATGTCATGTGTTCTTCCCCATCCAGGCCAAGTCACCGTTAGAAGGAGGAGAGACGCAGCACTCTGGCTGTATCTTCTGTGACCCCCTCCTCACCCCGCTCATCGAGAGGCACTACGCCGCCACACGACACCCCAAGTTCAAACGTGGAGGGGGGGCGGGGCGTGGGCGGGGCAGGGGGAGGGGCAGGAGGGGAGGGGGGAGGGGGGAAACCCAAGAACAAGATGGACCAGCTGGCAGCGTACTTTGTGTAACAGAAGATCAGTCATGATTGTACAAGTGTTCAACATAGTTTTCTAAGGAACACAATTTTTTTTTCCTTTAGGCCACACCCATTTAATTTGTTGTTTATCGGATTCATCCTGTCCATTTTTTTTCTGATTTGAGGTTCAATCAACTGCTCAATGAAAGACATATTTTGGCACCAATGGTTGAAGAAAGTCCTTTTCTTCCTAGTTGTTAAAGTTTTTCAATGTAACAGTTCAATTTTAGTACATTAGAATTTCAAAATCTATTGTTTTAATTATAAACCAGTCTGGTATGTTCAGTTCATGGCTCATATTGTAACATTTCCGGCTATCATGTGGTGCTTTGGACTGTTTTTTTTTTTTTTTTCGCTGTCGCTCTATAATTTTTCTGAAAAAATCCGAGAAACAACAAATTAAATTGGTGTGGCCTTATGGACATTTTGGCAGCTGTTCTTCTGTTGTTCTCTAAAAACCTGAACCAATTCTTTTTTTTTTACTTACAAATATATTAGAGGCATTTTTACTCATACATCAGCTTGTCTGGCAATTAAAGGTTTAATTTCTACTATTATTAAACAATTTGACCTTTCTTGCTTTCCAAAATTTGATATATAATTTAGTATTGTTACTATATGTATTATAATCAGGTTCAGGTCTTGAACCTGATGAAGCTGACTCATCCTAATATACATAGTATCTATAATTAACCAACATCAGCTTTAAACTGTCACATTTCCCCATTTCTAAGCAGTAAATTTGTAATCAGGCCACAGCAAGTAAATTTTATGGAACACACCCTCCGCAGACTCCAAATCTAATGTGATAGGGCGAAAACAAAACAAGGCTGGCCAAAAAAAAAGATTCCTACATTTTGAGTGTAAGAGTGAAAACGTTGTGTTTAGAAATTACATGTGCATGTACCTGATAGAAATTGTGCTTAAATATGTAAATTTGATGCAAAGTTTATGTGTGTGACGCTATGCATAGTACGAGTACAAAATATCATGCTTCAGTACATGTACAAGTCTAGATATCATAATAGAGTCAAGTATCAGTGGCTTTCTATATATAACAATCCTTGAATAAATATTATGTGATGATAACCTACACAAATGTACATGGACGTCTGTCTACAAGCAAATGGCAATAATTGACGATAGACTATTTAGTTTGGTCTGATTTTCAAGCCCTAAAACTGGACACCTTTAATTTTTACCATGATGTACTCTGTTGAGTTGTGTGGATACGTAGGATTCTTCTGCGAGCTGTAGGAGCAGTGTAGACTCGCCATACTCTGAGAGAGATTGTCAATACAAACAACCTAGTACGAGGGGTGTTCAAAAAGTTCTCGGCCTCACCTAGAAAATAAAGGTCAAACTCCTATTCTTTGGTATAGCTGTATACTATGACGTCTTACATCACTGCACACAAAAATTCAAATTTATATATTCATTAATAAGCACGTGACGCCCCGTGAAAATGGGGCGGGTGAGGGAAAATCACAAAATGGCCGCAACAGACGCGTGAGCTCTGATCAAGTGTATCGATAAAAAAGGATGTCTCCTAAGGACATCCATAAACACATGGTCAAGACACTTGGTGATGACTCCCCTTCTTATTCAACTATAAAGAATTGTGTTGCCAGCTACAAGCGCGGCAAGGAGAGCACAAAAGATGAACATAGGTCAGGTAGCCACAAATCAGCACCATGGACAATCCAGTTGAGGCCATCCATCACATGGTAGTGAATGACAGATTTGAGACTGGCCAACATGTAGTAGGTTCTTTGGCCTGTGTTATGACTCAGTTCACAATGTTTTGTCGAACATCCTGGGGATGAAAAACTGTGTGCATGGTGGGTGCCTCGAATGTTTTCTGAACATCAGAAGTTAAACAGGCGGGACATTTCAAGGAACGAATTTAGTCCAATCCATGCAATTTCCTCAAAACATTTGTCACCCAAGAAGAGTTGGGTTCACAACTTTCAGCCCAAATAAAAACAGCAGAGAAAGAAATGGATGGAGAATTTTTCCCGGCCCCCCAAGAAGTTTTAGCGAGTTTCGTCCGTTTACAGGGTTTTTGCCTCTGTTTTCTGGGACAGTAAGGAAGTAATCATGATTGACTAAATGCGAAGGGGTTGAAGCATCAATGGGGAGTACTATTCAACAGA